ACAAAGTTGGGTTTTGAAAAAAATAGAGAGGGAGACAGAGAAAAAGAAGCCAGACAAAAGACCACAGTCTTGATTTGTAACCCAGTTTTTCTCCAAGAGAGATGGGTTAACTGTTTGAGATTGTCAATCATTTAGCATATTTAGCTTAGCTTATATTTAAAATGCAGATATCTGCTGCCACTTTCCCTCCTGGCCTGTCCAATCTACTTCTTCAAAGGGACATTAAAGCTGCAGTATGTCACTTTTATTTTAATATAATGCTTTATATATTTGGTAATACTGTCACTATGTTATGACAGTATGGTTTGAGAGTTTATCTGGGAGAAAAAATGAAAAATCCTCTGCCTTCTCCTAGTACTTTTTTTTTCTGTCTCAAAAAAAAAAAAAAAAACCAAAGGCAGGAGGTGAGTCTCAACGCTGTCAATCACAATCTTGTATGGTGCCATTCCAACTGAAAAGGCAAAAAGGGGTTGAACCCAGTACTAGCAAGGTGTACCTAATAAAATGGCCGGTGAGTGTATCTGCAAGTCAGCTGGGGGCCTTGCAGTTTCTCCCGATTCCAGGATTAAACCTGATTTTAATTGACATATTGCTGATTTAGGCACTGGTGTAATGCCAAATTCATGGCTGAAGTAAAGCTCAGCTGAGCTCACAGTCATCAGAGAAAGTTTCAGTTGCTAGTTTTTCACTAAGGCTCAACTCTGCATTTGGTAGACAGCAGCTTCTGAGGACAACTGACTGTCAAAATGTGTGCTGCCTGTTTAACAGCATGTACACCATGTGCCAAGGGGACTCAGAATGCCTTATCCAGGCCATGGATGCAGAGAAGGCATTCAATAGTGGAACATTTGCAATATTTGGATTCTGTAGGATATTTATTTCACGGATAGAGTTATTATATGCCAGCCCTTAAGCAATGGTTATAACACATCACCTTTATTCTACATCATTCAAATGGCAGTCCTGGCAGATCCTCCAGGACCGCCGTCTTAGTCCCTGTCTTTTTGTAGTTGCAATTGAGCCATCAGATCTGGTGGTTGTATTGAGGGTGATACCAGAGGCTGCTTTTTGTTTCCAGGACAGAGACAACTATTTATTTTTCTTTAAAACTTATCATTTCATTTGGAAAACTCTCAGGGTACAAATTAAATTAAAGTGAGCACTTGCCATAAAATTTGGATAACATTGCTCTTGCAAATATTGTGGTACTTTTTCTACATATAGCTTTGATTACCTAGGTGTTTCTGTGACTAAGCTTTTTTCTGATTGAAAAAAAATACTTCTATGCATATGAATGTGGTTCCCAGGTATCTACACTTGTTCCATTTCCTCCCCATGTTTCTTTCAAAAGCCTATTTAAAAAAAAAAACTTGATTCTATTATATTAACATACATTTGGAATGGAAAGAAGCCACACTTGTGAAAAGATCATCTTCAGAAATCAAAACAAGATGGTGGAGTGGCCCTTCCAAATTATAGACACTATTACCGGGCAACTAATTTGTGATGTTTGTCATTCTGGACATTATAATCCTATTTGGGTTGTGACTCAATTTCTATCTTCAGTATTCGGAGCATCTGCACCTTTTTCCATAAACTGGACGATCACTATTCCAGTTCAGAATTTACTTACAATTTAGGAAATACTTTGGTCTTTGAAATATGAGACTTTCCAATACAATACCATCCGATGTTTTTTTCCCCTCATCGATGCCACTTTTAATATTTGGTTCAAAAAAGGCATGAGATCTAAGATCTTTTCATTGAAGATAAATTTGCCTCTTTTGCACAGCTGTCTTCTCAATTCAATCTCCCCACGTCTCATTTTTCAGGTACCTCCAAGCCAGGCATTATGTTTTAGGCCCCATCCCAGGGTTCCCAGATAAACCAGTTAACAGTATAACTGACAAATTGATATTTAATTCAACTAAGAAAGGATAGTTTTTGCCAATTTCTGCCATTTAGAGACTCAGCTCACATTTGCATCTCCCCCATCTCTGCAGTAAAATCAACTTGGGAGCAGAATTTATCTCAAATTGAGACAATCTGGATTAAAGTTTGGAGAGAATTCACTCCAATACAGTGTCCAATACACTTTTTAATTCAATTTAAAGTTATTCACTGGATGCACCTTCACAAATCCAAATTGGATAAGATTTATCCAGAAGTATAGGTGGAAATCTGAAGAAGCCTTTCTGATTCACTTGTTCTGATTTTGTCCTAAAATCCCCAAATTTTGGGGAGGTGTTTGTGAAGCCTTTTCTGCTGTTTAATTTAAAATAATACTGAAATACTTACAATTTCACCCTGTTGCTTTTGGGGGTTAGTCCTGATGGTTGGGGCCTATCAGTTGAGGGACAAAGTTATTGTTTTTTCAACCTTACTGGCACGCCACTTGATCCTTTTTAGGTGGACGGACACTGGCCCACCCTCAGTAACATACTGGATTAGGTGTATTATTCAATTTAAAACTAGAGAAAATCAGATGTGTAATGAGAGGTTCGTGAAATTTTACCAAATTTTGAAATCTTTTCTTTAATCAACCCTCAACACAGGTTCAGGAATAGACAGTTTCCAGTCATACTGTTTGATTTGGTTGTCATGAAATGACAACTGGTGGTGAGAATGGATGCGTAGGACCCAGGTAGAGGTGTGAAAAAGGTTGATTTTATTAAAGCTCTTACAGATTAACAGAAATCCAGGCATCACAGGTGAACTTAGAAGCAAGGAACTCAACACTGGAAGCTCTAGCAATGAAGACAAACAGCAATGACATCTTGACACATTGACAAGTGTAACCCGCAGTTAGTTAGGGACTTTTGTTTTTGCGGGCCCACTTCCTGTGTTGCCCCAAACTCTGTCAGCTTCTTTAAAGCCCCTCCTCCAGCTGCAGTTTGAACTTCTTCACCTGTTTCCACTGTGATTGTGGTTGCTGCTGGCAGCTTCCTCACAAATTCATCCACATCTTTGAACCTACTGATTGGATTGCCTGGTGAGTCTGTTATTTGATAGCAGCATTGCTTTTGCACGTGAAACTTCTGCTCAATTGCTCATTGGAGCATTGTTTTGCCAGAAATGATCATCAAATCAAATCAAAGCAAATTTTATTTGTATAGCACATTTCAGCAGCAAGGCATTTCAAAGAGCTTTACATCATAAACACAAAAACACAAAGTCATGCATCATGGAATAAACAATACATTGTTCCATATTACATTTCAAATAAAACTCTAATCAGGTGTCAGGGTTTCTGCTGTTTTACAGTTTTCTGATACAACAACAGCAGATCTTTGATGTATTGTGATGCTAAACCGTTCAGTGATTTATAAACTAACAACAGTATTTTAAAATCTATTCTTTGAGCTACAGGGAGCCAGTGGAGGGACTTTAAAACTGCTGTTATGTCTCTATCTTCCTGGTTTTAGTGAGAACAGGAGCAGCAGCTTCTGGATCAGCTGGAGGATTGATTTGTTGGACAAGACGCTCTTACAATAATCAATGCAAGAAAGATAAACGCATGGATGAGTTTCTCTAGATCTGGCTGAGACATTAGTCCTCTAATCCTGGAGATGTTCTTCAGGTGATAGAAGGCCGACTTTGTAACTGTCTTTATGTGGCTCTGAAGGTTCAAGTCCGAGTCCATCACGACTCCCAGGTTTTGGTCTGATCGCTAGTTTTTAGTTGTAATAACTGAAGCTGTGCATTGACTCTAGATCTATAGCTATAGATCTATAGTCTATAGATCATGACTTCAGTTTTGTTTTTGTTCAGCTGGAGAAAGTTTTGGCACATCCACACATTTATCTGTTCTAAACATTTATTCAGTGATTGGATGGGGTCAAAGGTCACCTGGTGACATCGTAATGCAGAGCTGAGTATCATCTGCATAGATATGGAAGCTAATATAATTTCCTGTTATAACCTGAGCTAGTGGGAGAATATAAATATTGAATAAGAGGGGTCCTAGGATTGAACCTTGGGGTACCCCACATGTGACCTTTGACCTCTTTGATGAGAAGAAATCCTTGTCCTTTATGTAAGATTCAAACCAGTCGAGCACCGAACCGGAGAGTCCAACCCAACTCTCCAGTCGATTCAGTCATATGTCAAAAGCTGCACTGAGGTCCAACAGAACCAGAACCAGCACTGTGGTTCTCCCACAGTCCGTATTTATATGGATATTTCACAACTCAGGCTCCTTAAAAGAACAATCTTCTGATGCTGAATTTGAGCCGCAGTTAGCTGTTTAATCCATAAGTGTTACACGAGGACCCAACGAGGAAACATAGACACAGCTAGGAATAATCAAGAGACAGGAACTAAATTGACTAGAAAACAAACAAACTTAAATCCTTCCACTGGTATTGTGTACATTGTTATGTGCTTTTTGCACAGCACCTAAAGGACCATGAGAACTGGGTCTGTTCATCACTGTGGGGTGTTTTTTTTTTCTCAATTATTTTTTAAATTATTTTCAGTAACTCTGGTATGTTAGCATATTTGTAATGAAAATCCCAAAATGAATATATTAAACATTAAATATAATTTAATGTAGCAATTTTATGTTGTATGCCACACAATACTGCAACTTGACTGAACATTTATTTGCCTTACCCGTTTCAACGTCCTTCTTTGTTACTAATGTTTGAGATAAACATTCCAATTTTTGTACATTCAGCTGTCTCTGTTTCCAGAACTTTTCTCTCTTCCTTTTCTGCACCAATCTTACTTTTCATCTTTTAAACACCACTGACTTAGAGCAAAAGACATGTTATGTCAGGGAAAATAAAGAAAAGCCCGTGCTGTGACTGCAAACTGGCACCTTAAAGAATTACTTATTAGCAGATGTAATTCAAATGTAACTGAGTAAAGTATTTTACTCAAAATGCAGAGCTGTTTTACTGTGAACATTAGTACTGGCATCTCTCTGGGTGATACAATAATGTTAAGAAAAAGACGGCAACATTGCTTGTTAATGTTTTTGTGTTTTGTGCCTTCAGGATCTCCATACAGAGATAAGATCACTATTGCCATTCTGCAACTTCAGGAAGAAGGGAAACTGCACATGATGAAGGAGAAATGGTGGCGAGGAAATGGTTGTCCAGAGGAGGAGAGTAAGGAGGCCAGCGCCCTTGGTGTGCAGAACATCGGTGGGATCTTCATTGTCCTGGCAGCTGGACTTGTTCTCTCTGTGTTTGTGGCTGTTGGAGAGTTCCTGTACAAGTCCAAACAGAATGCACAGCTGGAAAAGGTAAAGAATTCATGTGATATTTTCTCTGAAGAATATTAACCAATGAAAGCAGAATTTCTTGCAGTAACCACATATGCCATGTATGGCAGCCGTGAGGCAAATACAAGCTATTATGAATCAACCTGTAGTAATTAAGCTTTTATTAGAAGTATGGCATTTGAATAGGGTTATTGATTTGAAAATAGATGGAACTTCACACAGTAATAAGAGTGCTATATCATAACCCATAAGATAAGAATTGGTGTCTTTGCATTTATTCACTTAGGCCCAATGGCGACAACGAGATAAGAAACGTGAGGAATTCTGCTGTCACCATGGACCCAAGCTAGACTTTAACCACCATCTCAAATGACCACAAGGGAACTTCAGAAACGATTTGCTTTTATTTGAGTCTAAAATCTAAAACATCTCTTTTTTTTTTGTTGGTTTTAAGATTATTCTTTTGTTTTAATATAAAAAATTTTTCTTACAATTGCGAAGGAATGGGATTACTATAGCAGTTTAATAAAATGTTTGAAGTACTTGAACTAAAACACAATTGGATGAAATGCACATCTGTTCAAGACTTGCTCCACTGCATGACATGTCTTCAACAGCCAAATCCAAACTTCTCACTCTGAGCTGCTTCTGTTCTGTAACCAACCCGACTTCATGCCTTTTGCTTTAAAGGTGATGGATGCAGTGACAGAAGAATGTGATATTTAACTTTCCACTGAGCTGTCTGCCAGTCATTAGTTGCTAATTCAATGGCCTGCAAGTTCAGAAAAAGATGCATGGAACAAACCCTGAGATGCTGAAATATTAAATAATGATTTAACATACTGCATGTAAAGTAATAATACCTGCATATCAGTCCCACAGTCATCCATAGACTCTGAAGACAATCTTCACAATTTCTTTATCTTATGTATTCCACTTCAGCCTAATGCTAATATTGCAGTTAGAAAGGAAGTCAAAATATTGATTTACAATCTATTTCATTCAGCTATGAGTTGATGCTGCAGCCTTTTTTATTTAGCATGCAGAGGGAATAGCTGAAGATGAATTTCTGATTAAAACAAATATTTGCCTTTCTTCTGACAATAGCTGCAAACATTGAAAATCAGTTTAAAACAACACAGTTTGTCAAAACTCTACATTCACAATCAACACATGCAGTGAACTTGATAATCTCACCGCTATGTCCACTAAACTCTTCTGTCCTAATTGTGACATGAAGTGTGTTGTGCCTTCATGGCTCAGTCCTGCTATATTTTTCTGGAAGCCATGTTTCCTGAGGTTTTAATATAATAGTCAAAGTTTCTCTACATTGAGAGTGCTGTTTCATTGCTAAGGAGAATTCTTTCCTCGTCATTGTCACAAGTCTGGCTTTTTCTGTTTTGGGGATTTTTGAGAAAAGTAATGTAAAGAAAAACATGTTTTTCTTTACATTACTTTGGCAATAAGTGACCATATTCCCTTCTGATTTATTCAGTCTAAAAAGTTATTTTTGTTCAGAAAACACTGTTTTCTAAATGCAGCAATAAGTACATTCACTGTCATTCATATAAGCAAATGCTTCCCAAGGGTGTTTTTTCCCTCAGGAAAGTGCAATGTACCATTTTTTATATCTGCTTTTAAAAATAAACAAATTATTTACTAGTTTTATACTTGGGTTTTATATCTAACATGAAAATAATTGCCCTTTAAAGCAGAAAATTCTATTTTGGTTCCCCTCAAACTAGAATGTAAATAGAAATTATTGAATGGGATGTTTCTTTGCTGCAAACTTGTTCTGGAAATTACACAAAGCCAAGAAATGCTTTGCTTTCAGTTTAGCACTTTTCTATATTTTTAAACTGTTTTACATAATAACAAACTTTTGTGAAATAAAAAAAAGATATATATATATATTTCAAATCAATTAAATTTATTTCCACAAGCACAAATGTATTAACATCTGTCATAGGCATTTAACATGTTGAAATCAGCAAAGAAAGCAAAATATCACATAATTTTCATTTATTTTAAATTTCTATTTTCTCATAAATATCGTCAAACACAATAGATACACAATTTTTAACTGAACTAGTAAAAATTTAAGTTTAAGATCTTTGTTAAAGTTGCAGTATGTAACTTTTATCACAAATAAGTCTCAATTCAAGTCAAAAGTTTCCCTTTGATCCTAAAGGCTGCTGCCCCAAGAGAAGACAGCACAAGAGATGAAGTTTTCAACAGGCTTATAGATCTGCAACATCTTAGCTTCCTGAAGAAGTACACATTGTTAAAATTGTCACTATATCATGACAGTACACCATAAAACAATTGGTCTTCTTCCTCCCAGTGTTTCTAATGCTATCTTCAGAACCATCCAATCAGGGCCAGAAGCAAAGTCTTAATGAAGTCAGTTACAGTTGTGTACCCACTGCTCGATGTACTAATGGTGCATCGAACAGCTTACTGTTACAGGAAAACTGTTTATTCACCATCATCAGAGGCCATGCGCCTTGCCTGCAGACTCTAGTATGGAGAACTAGCAGGGAGCAAAGGGCAGGGTGTGAGAAGTGCATGCACAAGAGTGTTTGAAAGGGCTAAAACCCTCCTCCTGACTCTGATTGGTTGTTTTTGACTGAGCGGTGTATTACTGCAGATGGCAGTAGGACCACATCGAGAAGGCAAAGGACCTTGATTTGTCCCCAGATGATCTAGCTCATATTATGCAGTCACAATATGGTGTAAAACCTGTACTGTTTCTAAAAGTTACACGTTGATTATAACAGTTAGGTCATGCAGCTTTAAGGACCACACAAACAATTCTCAAAAATGCTCCAATGGTTTGTGTTGCTGAATTCTTGGTGCAGTCTTCTATCTGGTTGAAAGTTTTTATTTTTTTCTTGTTAGTAACCTATCAAGAGCATTTACTGATAATATTAATACTTCAATTGAAAATATTTATTAAAATCCATGAGGCCACTTAGCAAATGAAAATCAATTCACGTCTATACCCTAAACCGGCATAAATAAGTCAAGTAATGTTTGTGTTTCCCACTTTCCTTAAACTAAAAAAGTCTCAGGGCAAAAGAGAAATACACGTCTATTCGAGTGGAGGTTTATAAACCCTTTACTGAAGGGTTTATGGGTCCATTGATACTCCATCAACAGTGTCAATAGAAACATTAGAATCTGATGGATTTCAGTTTTGGATTATGTTCACACTTAACTTACTTGTGTTTGTGGAATCATAGAAGTTGGTGTTGTAAATTACATTCACATTTACATTGCCATAGTAGCTAACCATTGTTTTGTGAAGTACTGGTTAAGTAAAAATGTCTGAATTATTATATATGTCTCAGCTAAGGTAATATGATAATACATTAAGGCCTTATCTTAAGAAATGAAATGAGGTATTGCTTGAAACGTTTTTTCTTTTTGCTGTAGAGCATTGTGGCAGGCCCTTGTGTTAGCAACTATATCCCAGATCTAAATGCACAGAGTGATTTTGCATTTATCAGTTGTCTTTTTTCTTATAATTTTTTCAGCCAAGTTGTGACTTAAATTTCTGAAGGCACTTTTCCACTAGGCCCCCTCTTGCCGGGAAGTCTAGATTTGCCTCAGTCAGATTCACTTTCCATGAATAAATTCGGCGTGGCTCAGCCTGGCTGTTTTCAGATTTGAGTACCAACTACAGGGGTAGTACTTGCAGGATCGATTGATTGATTTACAGATGATAGCATTCATTGATTCTGTCACTGTAAACTGCAAAACAACCTTTAGTGTTTAGAATATAACTTTAGCTGTGGGCCATTGACATGCCATCTGCTATCAGAGATCTGTAAGGAGAAGTTTAATTATGAAAATAATCAGGAGCAGCAGCAGGAACACATGCAGTAACTTCTGCAGGAGAATGGCTGTGAATTAGCAGCGCTGCTAGCGGCTCGTTCTTCTGAAATACAGACTATACTAAAGAAGAGAGAGACGGTGCAACTGTGGTCAGCTTTCTGACAGAGCCACTGTTTTGCCTCTACAGTGTGAAACACCAGAACAACGTAATATTAACTTGTGATGTGAATTTAATTTTTCATTTAGTTTAAAAAATAATAAAGTCTATGCACAGCTATTGGTTTCCATCTTTTCACTCCATTGCCTAAATAAAAAAAGGTTGTAATTATATTTACATTCATAGCGAAATAATCAGCTGATCTGGGCCTTAAACATCAGCAAAAAGTTGAACACAGCTGAGGAGCAGGCCGGATAACGGATAATCTCACAACCTGGGGTAGAACTGAACCGCTCATCAGTTGGTTAGTGCCTGAGTTGCTAATGGAAAAGTGCCTTTACATTCGTGGTACTTTTTTTCTCATTTCAGCTGATCTTTTCCTCCTACCATTTATACAAGTACATCATGAAAAGTAAAAGTTTTTTGTTACCCAATTTAGAAAGGGAAACTCATACATTAAATATATTTATTACAAAGAGTGAAATATTTCAAGCCCTTATTTCTTATATTTATTTTGTATATTTTATATATATATATATATATATATATATATATATATATATATATATATATATATATAAAATATGAAATTATATATATATATATATATATATAAAATATGAAATTATATATATATATATATATATATATATATATATATATATATATATATATATATATATATATATATATATAATATTTCATTATAATTATGGCTTATAGAATAAAAACACATAATTCAGTAATTTGGGAAAATTTGTATATTAGGAAAAAGTTAAATATTGAAAACTGGTCATATCAAATCCTATCAGCTAGTTAACTCAAAACTCCTGGGAAGTTTCTCTGAGCTTCTACACGTTCATTCATGATGAGTCAGTTGGCTGTACATTCATGGGGAGAAGTGATGACTGGACAAATGTTCAGAAGACAGTCATTGGCACCCTCCAAAAGGAGGGGCAATAAGCATATTTGATTAAAGTTGGGTGGAGGGACAAAAGTGCGGTAGGAAAAGATGCAATTGGGA